TATAGTATGCCTTCTCTTGTTTCTCTGTTTCCCCTCATCAGCATGCTGATGAAATTATTAAATAAATACTTTTACTTTTCTTGACATACCTTATTTTACATTCAGTGGCCTTATCACTGGATCTCTGTTGTTCTCTATGAAATGCAGGCAGATCGTGGCTGATGGGAGGAGACAGCAGTGTGCTGCGCATAGCCTCCTGAAAAATTATATCACCCTGCCTCCTCTTGGGAGGAGGTAAAAAAATATAAAAATTCCTCGATGGGTGGGTGTCGGCCTGGAGCAGTGGACATTCCTAGGCGGGCTGCTTTTGCATACAGAGCACACAAGGTGACACCCACTTGTGAGGCTAAGTCTCCATGATTGAAGAACTGAGTGAAGAAGAGAGAAGCTCCCAGTGTGCAGTGAAATCAGAGTAATCAGAAGAAATCCAAATATCAGAGGCATGCACATAGGAGGGTCTTACAAAGGTAAAGATGGGCAGCTAATGGTGCATACTGCTGGAACAGAAGTGAACCAGGCTCACTTTAACTGTAAAGAAGGTCGGCCACGTGCTATGAAGTTGTCTTGAGGGTTTTTTTTTGTTTGTTTTTTGGTTTTTTTTTTTTTGTACTTTGCAAATCCATGAAAACCGAGACCTCTGTTCAGACAATTTTATTGATTTCTTTTGCAAGCTGGCATGGATAATATTTCTGTATATTGGTAGCACACCCGTCTGTTTGTAAACTGATGGAGTGCTCTTTCGTGCGAATGTCAGTTCCCATGATGCACAGTCTGACCTATTGCAAATAAAATAAATAAAAGCCATAGTTAGGCTGATTTTAGCCACTGTAATGACTTTACAGCAGAACCCCATCCAAAAATAACAAGATAAAAATGAATAGCCTATTAAAATATAAATAAACATACCAGCTCTTGCTGCAACATTCACCTTCAGTCCAGATTTCCCCTGCAGTACTTTTTTTTTTCTGCCACTAGATGTCCTCAGTCTGGTGGCCAGCATTGTTCAACCCACTTCCTCTGAGCCCAGGTCATCCTGGACCTTCCCAAGCCTGTGACTGGACAGTGAAAGGCGAAGCAGTACAGTGATGAGCTCATCTGTGTCCCTCTGATCTGTCCTCTTATCAGCATGCATCTTGTGAGCACATGAGTTGATTGGCTGCTTGTGCTCCTTTTCTCCTCTTGCGCTTCATCCCTGCTGTGTGGGGACTGCAAGAGGCTGATAACAGGTCAAATTCAGGTACTTATTTAGAAAATACATTTTTATTGATGTCTTAACCCCTTGGCGCCGGCGTCTCCCGGCCCTTTATGGGTTTCAGGAGGTGGGGTGGGGTTTTAGGGTCATGTGACCGTCGTGATTTGCCGTCATGGCGGTCACATGATCATGAAAGGTCCTGATCGAAAGAGGAGATCGGGACCTTTCTGTGAGTACTGGGCATGTGTGCTGGGAGTGCGCAGGGTGCACGCTCTCAGCACGTTTTTTTTTTTTTTTTAATTGCACACAAATGTGCGGCCGTTCGGCATCTAGGCCCAGACCCCGGGAGGCCACACATTTGTGTGCAGCCGGCGTGAAGAGGTTAAGGTGTTACTAAACCCCGGACCCTGCATTCATATATATGGTCTCCCACAGTACACAGAATATGGAAATGCAATTATTTTAGTAAATATAAACCGCCAAGTACATTTTCTCTTCAGCAGTATATAGCAGTCTTGTGACTTCTGTCAGTGTCCAGCTGAGCACTGGTTAAAGCTTGTAGGAGGAGTTCTCATTTTCCCCTGATTGTCCTATGAGGCTCCGTAACCCCTGACCTTTTGTCTGGACAGTGCTGATTGGCCCTGTGCTGATCACATGCATTCTTCCAAGAAAAAAAAACTAATTCTAGCAATACACACCAAACTGAGCATGCGCAGCTGTTCTATCAGCAGATGGATTAGGGACAGTAGAAGGGGAGGATCAGAGAAGACAGGATCAAACAGCCTTTTTCCATAATGCAGAGGATTAACCCTTTAGGTTCCACAGTGAGTATAACAAGCATGCATTACTGCATATTGTAGAATTTTCTGATACACATATAATACTACTTTCGTGTCTATAGGCGATTTTGCTAATAATTAAAGAGCCGGCGAAGTAAAACATAAAGTGTGATTTTACTTTATCACACAATGGCTTAAAATAACAATGTAAAGTGTATCATGAAGAGTTCCATGTCGATAAAACCGAAATGTCAAGACTGAAGTTATAAAGATGTGTCACCATTATTTCCATGTCTGATTGTCCTTCATGTGGTGCTTGTCCTTCAGAGTCTTTAGGAAGAAACGGACAGAGACAGAAGTGACTAATTCTTGTCTTGGAGAATGCAACTGTTCCAGTGTGTCACTTCTGTAATGAACCATCGCATCTTCATGCCATGCCTGTGTGTGTCTTTGTGTGTCGCTTCAGTGTGTATGAGTGTGTCTTCGCCCGCATCTCCTAGGATGCCTTTTTATGATACTTGTATGCGTCATAATTCCTGATCTTAGAACCTTGTATGGCAAACAATACTGCTTAGCAGAGCAATTTTAATTGAAGGGAGGGGACGCTACATATATGGTCGTTTGATTGACAGGTACATATGTAATGACCATAATAAGTTGGTGATGTTACATCAGCCTGCTAATTTGACCAGTCTCTGATTAAATGATATAAATTAAGAATGTATCTTTACAACATCTCAATAATGTTGTACAACCAGAAATCTACGTATGTAACAATATTAACTTGTAAAACAAACTAAATACACACAGATACTATTAGAATATATTATGTCATACTTATTCTATTTTGGTTTACGCCATGACATTCCACACTAACCAGCTATGCCCTATTCTAGAATACTTGGCTGGTTAGTTAGCTAACTCCTGTCTCAGCTTATAACTGAAGAAATGAACACTAATACTGGTTCAAGGCCATTCACACATTTTAGTATTAATTATGATTTAATCAGAAAAACCAAATATTTTACAAGCTTGCCATCAATATACAGTTGTGTTCAAAATAATAGCAGTCGGATATCACTAACCTGATCAATCACTGTTTTTGGTAGAAATGATATTTCTACATGGCAAATAATTTACTAGCAGGTGTAGTAGAGTAATAGAAATCCAACAGACCCAACAGTCATGACATGCATGCTGCTGATTCTGTGTAATTGAATCACTAATTGAAAGGGGCGTGTTCAAAATAATAGCAGTGTGGAGTTCTATTAGTGAGGTCATTCATTCTTTGAAAAACAGGTGGCAATGATTGCCCTTATTTAAGGAAGGAAGGCAGAAAATGTTGTACATGCTGGTTACAGTGCATTGCTCTCTGAAATTCTGAGGAAAATGGGTCGTTCCAGACATTGTTCAGAAGAACAGCGTACCTTGATTAAAGAGTTGATTGGAGAGGTGAAAACATATAAAGAAGTGCAGAAAATGATCGCAAATGCTTTAAAATGGCAACCAAAACCTGAAAGACGTGGAAGAAAGGAAAAAACTACCATTCGAATGGATAGAAGAATAGCCAAAATGGCAAGGACTCAGCCAACAATCAGCTCCAGGAAGATCAAAGAAGGTGTAAAGTTCCCTGTGAGTACTGTTACAATTAGAAGACGCCTATGTGAAGCCAAGCTATCTGCAAGAAGCCCCCGCAAAGTCCCACTGTTGGAAAAAAGACGTGCTGAAGAGGTTACAATTTGCCAAAGAGCACATTGACTGGCCTAAAGAGAAATGGCGCAACATTTTGTGGACTGATGAAAGTAAGATTGTTCTTTTTGGGTCTAGTGGCCGGAGACAGTTTGTCAGACGACCCCCAAACACTGAATTCAAGCCACAGTACACTGTGAAGACAGTGAAGCATGGTGGTGCAAGCATCATGATATGGGGATGTTTCTCATACTACGGTGTTGGGCCTATTTATCACATACCAGGGATCACGGATCAGTTTGAATACATCAGAATACTTGAAGAGGTCATGCTGCCTTATGCTGAAGAGGAAATGCCCTTGAAATGGGTGTTCCAACAAGACAACGACCCCAAACACACCAGTAAACGTGCAACATCTTGGTTCCAGACCAACAAGATTGACGTTATGGAGTGGCCAGCCCAATCCCCAGATCTTCATCCAATAGAAAATTTGTGGGGTGACATCAAAAATGCAGTTTCTGAGGCAAAACCAAGAAATAGAGAAGAACTGTGGAATGTAGTCCAATCATCCTGGGCTGGAATACCTGATCACAGGGGCCAGAAGTTGGTTGACTCCATGCAACACAGATGTACAGCAGTTCTCAGAAACAGTGCTTATACAACTAAATATTCATTAAGTGATTCAAAGGAAAGCAAAATCTTCAAACATTTTTCAGTTTATATAGTGAATGTTTGAGTTTGTAAAGAAGAATATTCCATTTTGCTTGAGGTGATTGTAGCCGTATTAGTGCATTTGTGACAGAAACAACTGAGTACTGTCCGTGATACTTTTTTTATTTGCACTAACATACAATTTTGAGGACACGCTTTCGGGGTATGTCCCCTTCTTCAAAGTCCAAGCAGTACTATTACAAATCACAAAGTTCAAAAAATTGCAGTGTTTGTATTCTAACATTCTTTTTAAACAGTCTAATATTCACTTTTCACATTTTTTTTTTTTTTAGAGGAACAACACAAATTTGATCTATTTTTCTTCATGTTTTGATTTGGAATAGAATGTGTAGTGTTCCCAATGCATTTGTGTGGATGGAAATAAAAGCTATTAGAAGGATTTTGAGCTTTATTCACTTTTTTCAACACACTGCTATTATTTTGAACACAACTGTAAGTTCTGAATTATGAATTTGATATAAATGTTTATCACATCTACAGACTGATTTTACTGTTGTGGGTTCAGTATCACTTTGATCACAGAGCTGCCTTCATTTGTGTATTTTATAAGTTCATCTTTAAGCTTTTATGTTGTAATCAGACTCACAATAAGGATCTCATTCATCCAGGAACAGCTGCGGCACTGCAAGAAGCGCCTGCAGGATGCGGCGCAGGAGAAGAAGATGCTGAAAGAGGCTCTACAGGCAAAGGAAGCCGAGCTGAGATCCGAGAAACAGAGACACAACTCTGATCTGTGCCAGGCCCAGGCCAATCTGCTGCAGCTACATGACTCGGCCAGAGAGCAGGACCAGGTCACCAAGGTATGGGCAGCATGCTGGGACCCTCCTTGGGCTGAAAGGGCATTGCAACATCTCCCGACTGGTCACTGTACACAACAGTAGCACACCAGGAAACCTCCTTCCATATGAAGCTCTTTTTATTGTGATATCACATAGAGAATGTAATCATGGAATAAAAAGAACTTTGCACTGGTGTGCTGGGGACACGTTTTATCCAGACCACCAAGTCACCCAGAGCCCACTGAGCCCTGCCAGGCACCTGAATGCAGCTTATGTTGGGCACTCCGGCTGCTTCAGAACTACAAGGCCCAGCATGGCTTAGTGCATTAGTGCGCTTTTAGGACATGCTGAGACCTGTTGACCTGAAACAGCCAGAGGAACAAAACACGTCCTTATAATTTTAGGTTTCTGTATTCTTAGAATGTTGTCTTATTTTTTTTTTTTTTAACCTTCATTTTCTATAGACTTTAAGAGCCCATTAAGTTATTTGTGGTGCATTGTGCTAGGGTCCCTTCATGTCTGAGGTTTACAACCACTTAAGGGGTCCCTTCATGTCTGAGGTTTACAACTGCTTTAGGGGTCCCATTCATGTCTGAGGTTTACAACCACTTTAGGGGTCCCCTCATGTCTGAGGTTTACAACCACTTTAGGGGTCCATTCATGTCTGAGGTTTACAACCGCTTTAGGGGTCCCTTCACAAGGGGCGCTTTACTGTGGGCCCCGTGCAGGTCCTTGTTTTCCTGGCATGGGGATGCAGAGGTGTTGTGTGCATCCCTGTGCCGGCATCACATTAATTTCTATTGGGGCATGCAGCTGCACGGACACAGTCTCTGGGTACTAACATGACATAGGGGCGAGTGCGGGTCCCTGAGTGCACCCTGTATACGTTTGTGGACCCACACGGGCATTTATTAGGACACAGTGGCTGTGTCCGTGCAGCCGAATGTTCCAATAGAAATGAAAGGGACGCCGGCACTGGGATATACACAACACCTGTGCATCCCCATGCCAGGAAAACATGGACCTGCACAGGGCCGGCAGTAAAGCACCCCTTGTGAATGGACCCCTAAAGTGGTTGTAAACCTCAAACATGAAATAGGAACAAAGCAAATCCCTCTATAGTGTGTACTTGTCTCAATCCAGAGCACTGTGTCATTTCTGTCTGCTGCTTCATTCCTCTGCTGTCAGCACTAATCACTTCTGACAAATTTACCTGACACCGAGAGAAAAATGGAAACGGGAGGAACCTCCAGCAGATTGACGGTCCCAGCTTTGTTCCTGTGTACTCTGTGAAGAGGGATGAAGGCCCCCCCCCCCCCCCCCCCCCCTAATACTTACCTGAGCCCAATCTCAATCCAGCAATGTGCACAAGAGCCTTGGCTCCCCAGAGACTCTCCCCCCTCATTGGCTGAAACAGCGGTGGGAGCTATTGGCTGTCAATCACAGCTAGTGAGCCAATGAGGAGAGAGGGGGGGTGGAGTTGAGCTGCAGCTCTGTGTATGAATTAACACACAGAGCAGCGGCTTGGGAGCAAGTCTGCTTGGGTGCCCCCATAGCAAGCTGCTTGCTGTTGGGGCATTTAGCAGGAGGAAGGGGCCATTGCAGAGCAGGCAAGTATGGACATGTTTTTGTTTTTTAGAAAAAAAAAATAAACTTTTAATATAATTTTTAAAGGCAGGCTGCCAATGCATCTCAATGAATTAAAAAAATGGAAATGACCCTTTCTTAATAACACAGAGCACTCCAACCCATTAATAAATAAAATATATATATATATATATATATATGGGAATGCATGCACATGTTGCCACAATGCAAAGTGTGAATGGGCCCTAAAAGAGAAGCTGACATTATAAAAAGTCATAGGCTGCCACTTCTGGAAATTATTGTTTGGGTTGCTGATTCAAAAGCAGCATGTTGTTGTTGTGATTCAAAAATGATCAGAATTGCAGCCAGGCGATCAGTGTTTTCAGCGGAAGGTCCGTAATGTCAGTCTACTCTTTTCTCCCCCCAACTCAGAATGACAGATCTAATGCAATCCAAATAAATACACAGCAGTCCTACTATGACTGTTCCACTGAAATGTGAACAGAGGGAGGGTGGGAGCTGCGCAGGCCTCATGTGCCATTATAGGTAATGTAAGAATCCTGGTCACACATGTTGTATTCTGTATAGTGTAATGATCATTTCTCTCTGCTTACTTTTACTAGAAGCTGCTGGTGGATGCTCACAGTAGGGATCAGACCATCATGAGACTTCAGGAGAAGCTGATCCTGAGCGGTGTGATGAGAGACGCACTTTAAGGTGAGAGCCCCAACCTTTCTGTATTTGGTCTTCTGCTAAATCCTACTTCACTGTAGTTCTACTTTTATAAAGTGGCCACTAAATGTAAAGGAAATAAGTATTTGATCCCCTGCTGATTTTGAATAATTGCCCTCTCACAAAGAAATGATCAGTCTAAAAATCGAATGGTAGGTGTATTGTATCCCTGGAAATTAATATAATTCCTTGGGTCCCCCCCAGATCACCAGAACTAGTGTACCCCGTTTGGAAGATATTACTCTTCTGGGGCAACCCAAGATTTGGGGTTTTCATTTTACTTTCACTTTCTATTTGACAAATAGAGAGGGTGAATCTCTCTAATGGGGGCACAGACAGCAATAAAGTTAGTTTTCCTTTGATAATGAAATAAAAATTAGAAGATATCTATTATCATTTCCCACCCAATGAAGTGCCAATGTGTCTTGAAAAAAAAACGAGGTATCATTCACCTGGATACACCAAGTAGTGGCACATCCCATGTGATTCGCAGAGGAACCGCACCACATTCCTGTGCAAATCACATGCGATTTCTGTGCGATGCGATTTAAGCCATACATTATGTATGGTTCAAATTACACCACATCTGCAACAAAAGGTGTAGGATCCTTTTTTTGTTTTGCACTAGAATCAGATCTCATGGGTATTCGTACCTATTCAATCCGATTCTGCACATCGCACCGTGTTTTGTGGACCAATTTCAGGGTGTTAACTTAACATACACACCTGCAGCGAATGGGGTGCGATTCTGATGTGGTGTGGAATTCGCACAGAAAATGCTGAGAAATCTGCACCGCATCAGTGTGAACCCGGGCTGAAAGTGGTTCTCTAAAGCCTTAATGTATTCTCTGCCTTAAGGTAAACAAAAACCTTTCTGTGTCATACAGCATGCTCCCAGCACACAAAGACCGGCTTGCCATCGGGAGCCCCAGGTCCCGTACGAACAATCAGGACCTGGGACTCCCAGTGTCAGATCACTTGATCACCATGATAGCCTCTCATTGGCTATCAAGCCCATATGGTAAATTTGAATTTTTCTTTGTCTTTAATTTTTGTTTCCGATGTACTTTCAGGCAGGTCACGGTACAAATCTGCTGAGGATTCATCAATCCTATGACCTGTTTACCAGCCACAAATAGGCTTACCGTATGGATTACAGAGCGACCGGTCATCCTCAGTGTCGTCTTCCCAAGAGATGTGCGGCTTCCGAGTGACACCAAGGCCTGGTCTCACCTTTTATTCTGTTGAACTGCCCTTAAATTGAAGGTGACTGCCAGAAGATTACACTAGTAATGCAGATTTGCTATGACGTGGGAGCATTGGAAACTGGGACACTTCTGACATTATGGTATCCGGGAGGGGAGAGGGTATATTTATACATAACCTAGTTAGTGGAACAGCTGATGTTGAGATAAACAATGGGATCAACAAATGAGCTTAATACAGCTTGGGAACAGTAAAGTCTTCTCAGGGTGTTTGTGTGTACTTTAAGTGTCTTGTTGTGTCTGAAAACAGGTGCAAGTTGCCACATTTCCATGATATAGACTTAGACAGTTTTTGTGCCTGGCTGTCTTACAGAGCAGTATGGAAATGAGTAGTTCTGGCAATTAGACCAGAAGCCACTGCCAAAAGGTAACTTGCATCTGTATCCAGAGACAACTTAGCTGCAAGCAAGTGGATCCTTTATGGGTCTTAATCAGTGTCAGACTTTGGTAAACTTTCCATCTTGCTACTGAAGAGGTACAAGCAGATCCAAGAATAGGCATGCTGGAACTTTAATTTCTTCAAAAGCTGATGGCCTCTGTACCGCTGTATACTGTATGCATGATGTCTTTTCTTTTTTTTTTTTGCAGAAGGGTAATACTGTTCCCTAAATGGAGGTATTTAAGAGAAAAACTTTCTATATGTGATAAATGCTATTGGACATTGCTTAGGAATAAATAGAAATATATTTTAATAATGGTGATTATAGCAGGGATTTTTGAAGCTTTTAATACTTGAATAATCTATTTTATTACAACCTGACCCTATGGGTGCCTTAGATCACATGACCGTGAACTGCCACACAGAGGAATGGGGGAAGTAGCTCTGATCATTGGTAGTGTGCTGTACCAAGGCCTGCCTAACCTGCTACTTCTAGCTGTCAAGGAACTGCCTATCCTAGCGTGCCCTGCCAGAGTATGCTGGGACTTGTAGTTCTCTGGCAGGGTTTTTTTATTTATTGTAATGCTACAGAAACAGCCCATATAGGTGCTTGTTGGTATAATTTGTATACAGTATGTAATAGTTTCCTTCTGGTTTCAGACTAATTTCATGGCATGGTAAATTCCTGCGAGTGGTGAGATGTGCCTCCTAGTAAAGGGGAACTCTAAACCAAAATTTTCAACAGAAGAAAAGAAATAGAACCACGTTCAGGGTAATGTATGTGCCCCATCAGGAAGAGATCCCCTCATTTTCTGTTTCACTAAGATTGGAAGTGAGGGGAATCTCCTCATCAGGCGCAAATGTGACAAACATTGGCTACTAAAAAAACAAAAAAAAAAGTATTGTGTGACCCTACTGCCGATATTTGTCATTCGGTTCTAGCTGGTCACTGGGACAGAAATTAGAAGAAATCCTTCCCTCCTCTAGTCACAGTGGTTGGAAATGTAGTTCGTTAATAACAGCAAAATAATTTTCCAGTGTGCACTTTCAGAGCACCACTCCATGTTTTTAGGCAATTCCTTTCTTTATTAAAGGGGCCTGCAGATTGGAGAGCTATAGGTCTGATTCAGCAGGGAACATGTTGGACCTCTGCAGAGAGACCACTGCTTCCACACACAGAACTGCAGCATACTGGCAGTGGATTGGCTTTTCTACACAGGCTGTGGCTTGCATTTTAAAGAAAACAAAGATTTTTGGCCACTGTTTGTTTTCATGCACTGGCAATGTATTAAATTTAAACTGAAGTTCAGCTGGGCTTTCATGATAGTTTGTATTGGACAGTGTTCAGTTTTTATGCCAGACTTGTTTACAGATTCTGTGCAGCTTATTGCATCGCTTCTTACCAACTTCAGGCTGTCATGGGGCTAGGCAAATGATTTTTAAATCCCTATGTGCAATTTATATGTTTTTGTATTTTGGTGCACCTTCTGTTGAGATGCATAGTACTGTAAAAAATGGCACTGCAACAAATCAAATGCAGAAGCAAAAATAGGCTCTTAGATTCACCTCCGTTTGTTGGTGACCAAGTGAAACCAAAATGCTGAGAATACCTTGATCACATTGTACTGAGCTAACAAAATGTAGTTTTAAAGCCCCAACTTTACCATGCCATGAAAAGTACCTTTTTATTTCCAACGGGGCCAGCTAGTAGAAGTTTCTTAATACTGCAAATGACGGAAACTTGAATAATTATTGGATTTACCTCTCCCTGCCAAAAGGAGAGCATGTAGTAAATCTGCTGCCAATAGCAACCAGTCAAGCATAGGCTTTTTAACTCTAAAGCTGGGTACAGATGGGCCAAAATCAGCTGACTTTTGGCCCATGTGTACAGTTGACAGAAACCACTCTGATACCCAGCTGCGGTTAAACAGGCATGCTGGAACCGACATCCGATCAGTGCTCTTAGCTAATGGCTGCAAGCGCTGATTAATGCATCCTGGTGTTGGGGGGGTGTTAAGGTAGTCCCCCTGTCAGAACACAATAGCACAGTGTTCACTGCCCTAACATTGTGTCAGTAGAGTGATCTTTAAGTGTTTTTGATTTTTTTTTTTTTTCAGCCTGCTGCATTGAATGGAAAAAAAAAAAACAAACTTCTTGTGTGTACCCAGCTTAACCTACCTTGGAAAATGTCACCCTTCGCAAATATTCCCTGCCTACAAGTGTGGCCTTTTCAGGGCTTTGTTATCTGTTGCCTATGACCAATGAGCTGTGTAAGGGCCTCCTTTAATGGATAGGCTGCTGATGGAGGCATCTTGCTGTGGCCACATTCAATACAGACTGGTTCAGACTGGACAGTTGGCTGCATCCAGAGAACCCTGGGCCTAAGTGCATCCAGAAACCCTAATCACTTGCAGCCTACTCATGTGGTGGTGCCAGCCATTTTGTTTGTACAGGGTACAGATCTGGCCCCCATGGATGTTCACACATATTGTGCGTGGGACCAAAAGTTTCTCCACATGCAAAAAAAATCAGCCCATTTAGCTTTTCTGTGGATAAGAAACTAATTTAGTGATAAACACCTGCCAGTATAGGGCCTAAAGTTACCTTAGGCGCCATTGACAAGCACCATCTGAATGCTTGTCATTGGCTCAAACCTATATGAACAGGCAACAAAACTCCCCTCTTCTATGGTGAAAGGAGATCAAATGTTATCGCTGGCATTGTATCGACTATGTTCTCAGTAAGACATCTGCCTGTGTGTACACAGATCATCTCTGTATTCTATGCAAATGGCTATTTTCCTGATGGGAAGTGTTGGGACAGCACCAGACTGCCATAAACCAGGATCATGGAATAGGTCCAACTGCCTATTTAGCTTTTTTCTTGTAATGTTTTTATAACTTGTATTTCCAGGATGTAATTGGTACAGATCTGTAAATAAAAAAATCTTATATAATTATTAGGTTGTGTTTAGTTATTATATAAGAAAAAAAAACACCAGGCAATGTATTAATCAGTTTATTTAGCACTTAGAAAATAGTCCTCTGTATATCTATACAAACAAATATACAGCATTATGTACATGCATGTAAACTATAAAATCTGATTTGGTACAAAAACTATAATCAGGAGATAAAAATCAGTTCATAGATACAATATATAAATTATATTCAGCCTAAAGTGTGATCCAATTAAATCTATAGCCTAAGTTGGCCCCCTTTGGGTGCTTTGTAGATGGCCCTAAATTCTTCTGACAATGCTGACCTCTATCTAAGAAGGCCTCCCTGAACACTCCTATATAAAACAACATATCGATAGCATCTAGGGATCACCATAAGACAGCATCTTAAGAAATGTCACTCCCAATCATGGATGGATATAAAATATGTTCCAGTGTGGCACGTAATATACAAAATAAAAGTGCACCTACAGCCAAAACCTTTTTGGACAGAATAGAGAACTAGAACAAGCCCTGTCAGATTTAAGATTTTCCTTTACTCTTTTGTCCCAGAGACCATCTTTTCACAAGACAGGAAGTGAAGGCAACTCTTAAACAGCAAGACAGATCAAAGTATAGAGGTTTTTGTTAAAGCCAACCTCAAGGGTTTCCATTTCATTTTGACCAAGCTGGTTCAAATGAGCTCTCTGTCCTTTGCTAATAGATACTCTCGCTGTGAGCTCTGTATAAATTGTGTGTGTAGTATCAGCAACATACAATATATATACAGCGCTGTGTTCCAGCAGCAGTACAGGGACTTCACATCCTGTACCCAGAAAAAAGTCTGGCTGAGAGCTGCTCAGCCATTCCTTTTTTTCATCAAGGGATCCTTTGATCCTGACATCATTCACTACCTCTGCCAATGTTCAGCCGGACTCAATATTGTTTCAGGAACAGGACAGAAAGTCCCTCCCCTGCTGTCAGAACACAGTGCTGTATACTGTATGTAACTGGTGCTACATGGAGTTTATACAGCGCTGACCGTGGGCACATTTCTCAGTAACAGAAATAGTTTGGACCAGCTTTGTCAAAAATAACTATTTAATGAAACATGGAGTAAGGCTGGCCATACATTATACATTTTTCTTGATTTTTGGTTTAGATTTACCAAAAACCATATAATAGGTCAAACCTAACACTTTCATTGTATCCAATTATGCAGGCTCTTGTACTACATAGTTGAAGGTAAATCTAAAGGAAATTGGATAATGTATGGCCAGCCTTAGGAAATGGGGGTTCTAACAAGCCCCTACTTAAAGCCTATGTGGTAAAAGGTTGTCCCCAGAACAGAACGTTAGAGGAAACCTCTCTAGCAAAGCCCCAGACAGCAGCTCTAACCTATCTCATTCTCTCCAAAACATTAAAAAACTAATACATTTAAAAAAGGCATGTTGTCAAGGGAAAACATTTCTGAGAAGAATCAGTGATGCATTTCCTTGGCACACATGCTGTATGTTTTTTAGTATAGTATACGGAGCATGAATCAGGGAAGAGCTGCTTTCTTCCGAGGCTTCTCACATAGGTGTTTATAGTTTAAGACCTCTATAAAAAAATTAAACATGTCGGACAAAGTACAATTCACCTGAAAAGTGGTGAGTTGATTTTAAATATACTTTATGCATATAGTAGAAAAGGGTTAAAACTCCCGTCAGATATTTATTATGTCATTTGTGTCCCAGTGGGTAGATTCTAGTTAATTTCTTGTTCTGTAAACACAACAGGAAGTGAGGGAAATCTCTCCAAAATGAGAAAAATCACTTCTTAGAGTTTCCCCAAAATCGGAAGTAAGGGGCGATTTTCCAGCAGTAACATTTTCTCTCGCTTTCTGTCCTGGGGGCAATGGTCCCCCAGAGAGAGAGAGGTTGAATTGCCCTAGTGGGGACACAGGCAACAATAGCAACTCGCCAGAGGTTCTAACCCTCCCACACAACACAGAACTAATTTAAAATAAATACCTGCCTTTTAAGATAAGGACAAAATGAGCAGTACCCATTACAGTAAAATCAGGCAGTATGCACATAAATTAAAGGAGGTGCCCATTCTTCTGACTTAACCAAAGTTTGGGACAATAATGCCACTAATGCTTGTTAAAGCAATAATCCCTACTCAAGAGATGATTGTCTTCCAATATACAAGGAAACATGTAAATTTATAACAAGTGAGAAAAACAAAAATACAAGACGACTGCTTGTAACACATTATTATAAGGCACAACAAGAAGCCATGTGTAATCCACACTTGGACACCACATTCACAGTTAGGAGGTCACTGAAGATTGACGAGGCAATTTGCCAAATGCTTCTCGCTCCAATGCCAGGAACACACATGGCAAAATCACAGCATTTGGGACAAAAATGAAAATGTCTGGGCCATTTTCAAGAATTCTCCTACAGCACAGATCAATAACAGTAATCTGCTTGTTTAGGTGGATCCACCATATTGCCAAAAATGGACACCTGACCACAACACCTACACTATATGACCAAAAGTATAAATGAACTCCTCTTCAACTTAAAGAGTTCAAGTGTTTCCAGTGGCAGGTATTGTTAATGCTACAGCATACAGACATTTTAGACAATTGTGTGCTACTAGAGACAGTTTGGGGAAGACCCTTTTGTGTTCTAGCATACGTGCGCCCCTGTGTACAAAGCCAGCTCCATAAAGTTGGGTGTGGAAGAACCCAAGTGGCCTGCACAACTAATCTCCACCCTACAGAACACCTTTTACTATGAATATCAATGCCGATTGTGAGCCAGGTCTTGTCATCCAGCAACAGTACCTGACCTCAAATGCTTTTATAGCTGCAGGGGCACAAATGTCCACAGACACCCTCCAAAATCTTGTGGAAAGTCTTCCCACATGGAGGCTTTTATAACCATCCTTCCATATAAATGTCTACGGGTTTGGAATACAGGTGTGATGGTTTGTTATCACCACCCTTTTGGCCATATAGTGTATATTGTTAGCTTACCAAAATGCTTCTGTAGGGCTCACAGGTTGTGTTGCTGGTAAAAACACATTCTTCATCAAAAGATCCAGGGTTTGGTAAATTAATTTCAACCTCTTATAAGTATGGTTGAACAGTAAACAGATCTTGCTGTTCATTGGCCTGTGTAGCTGGCTTTAAGCCCTTCTTGTTGGATTGTTACACCACTGAAATGTAAACAAAATGGGCCCTTTGACTATTGCTGGCCCCAAGAAAGTGATTGGTCACCTAACGGATACAAATAGAAAGGATGAAAAAAATCAGCAGCAATTCTTAGCCTGCCTGCTAGCTAGGAAGCAGGGGTGGATTGGGAAGATTCTCTTGTCAGTCTTAGTGTGGAGTGGTGGTAATCCCACCAGCAATCTGTACAGAAAATTACCGATCATTTATTTCTTCTTCTTTCCCCCCTCGGCTTCAGGCGGTCGATTCTTCTTGTTGAGGATCTTCATGAGAGACTTAGGCATATAGTACGGCTTCTCTGCGGAGCCATCGTTCCTTTCTAAATCTTCCACTGGAAAAGAAAAGATGATCTGTAACTAAGACCACCGGAGCTCAAGGAATATGGATGGTGCCATTTCTGTGAAATCGGCATTCACTGAAAAGCATTTGAAGTCTATGGATAAGATAAAATTAATGAGCAAAATCAAAAAGATGCATATGATGCAGCCTGTTACTAGCATGAAATCAGATGAAAGACGTCAGATTATAAACAAAGACGAGGCTGAAAGCTTCTGTTTAGTTATTCCCTGTAAACATTATGAAAACCCTCCAAAGTCACTTTTGTATATCTATTTTGCATAATTTCTATACCGTCTCTTCCTCTCGAAAGCAGGGAGCAGAGACTCCAAAAGAAGATCTGCTGTTGGCATTTAAACAGGGTAGGGGAGTTTCAGCCTGTGATGTAAGAAGTGGATTACAGGTATGCCGTGTGTTGACACACCGTCCTGTAAGGCCATAAAGATGAACCAGGGACACAAACTGACCACGCTAGCACAGATCTGCTACCATGCTTAGTGTAGGCAGGAAGCGCATCACACTAAAGAGGCTTGGCAGGATCACCAGGAATTTAATGGAGATTCAACTTTACATTTAGTAAAAGTAAACACAAGTATGCTGAGTGTTAGCGCAATGTAGTCTCAAACTTTAAAAATTAAAGTGTTACTAAACCCAGGACCCTGCATTCACTATATCTGCTCTCCCCGGACCCTGCATTCACTATATCTGCTCTCCCCGGACCCTGCATTCACTATATCTGGTCTCCCGGACCCTGCATTCACTATATCTGGTCTCCCCGGACCCTGCATTCACTATATCTGATCTCCCCGGACCCTGCATTCACTATATCTGATCTCCCAGTACCCTGCATGGAAATCACTATTTTAGTAAATCCCACAAACTGCAAACATAAAATGCAATTATTTAGTAAATATAAACTGCTAAATACCTTTTCTCATCAGCAGTTAGAGCAGATTGTGACTTTTATCAGTGTCCAGATGAACACTGGTTTAAGCTTGTGGGAGGAGCTTTCTTTTTTTCTCTAGGAGGCTGCAGAACCCCTGCCCTCTGTCTGCACAGCGCTGATTGGCCCTGTGCTGATCACATGCACTCTCCCCAAAAAAAAAAAAAAAAACACCTCTCTAGAAATACACACCAAACTGAGTATGTGCAGAGTGTCTCCACACAATATGTCTTATCAGGAGAGAAGAGGGGGGACACATTGATAGTGACTTTTTTGATCCTCCCCTTCTTCCAAACAGCATTCTTACACAATGCAGAGGATTAACCCCTTAGGTTCCACAATGAGTATAACAAGCATGCTTTACTGCATATACAGACTGATTTTACTGTTGTGAGTTTAGTAACACTTTAAGCTATACATACACTAACCAAGCAGTGTTTGTTTTTCTGTGTTCCCCATAAAACAGTTTCATTATCAGCTGATTATGCCAATATATTAAAATAATGTAGTCCCATGTAAATTTGTAAAGGCAGTATAGAGCAATGTATTTATATTTTCTTCCCTACTGTGTATTTTTTAATTTTTTTACATATAACAAAGATACACAACTGCATTTCTGTGTAATGTCAGTATCTTTTTCATCACTGGTATAGGGTGTCAGGGCTCCACTCCCTGATAAAGGTGCCCTGTACTGATGCAGAAAGCAGCACTGATGTCATCACGTCAGCCTAAAGCAGGCCATAGATTATGCGATTTTCTTTCCTGCAACCATGGGTTGCATGAAAGAAGATCACTCTATTCCCCCAGTGCTGATGCGGGAACCCCTCCTGTGGCGCTATTGTGTTCTCCCAGCAGGGAGGCAGTCCCTGCTGGGAGAACACAGTGATTACTGGTTATAGCCGCTGGCGATAATCATGTGCTAAACATATGACATGTTGGCTATAGCAACCAATTTGGCACAATCGGCCTGCCCATAGATGGATATGGCTGACTTTACTCTCTGCATCATCAAGGACTGTCCAACACTGGGAGGGAGAGGACCCTGTAACATCACATTAGTGACCAAGAGAATCAGAAAAAAGCAAGCAGAAAAAAAAAAGCATACAACTGGAAGATGAGTGTAGGGGCAAGGAGCCCACAACTAGCCTTTACATTATTCATCTTACTATTGCTTCACTACCACTGAACAAGTAGGCAGATTAGAAAAGGTAAAGTAAAATCCTTATCAGTATACTTTTTCGAAATCAGTGGCTCAAAGTATTAAAGCAAGAAGGTCACCACGATACAGGCAGGCAAGTAGCATTTTCAGAAAAAGAAGTCGGCAATGGCTGCCACCATGTTTCTGTTAGAGGTAAGCACAGGCGCCTCTTTGCAGTCTGTTGATAACATATATAATTTTTTAGATGTTCACCATAAATATTTATAACCATGACAAACGATGAGCCTGCATACTCACAGAAGCAGAGGAAGAGGGTGTCCACACACATGTTGTACACACTAAAGAAACCCTGTGCAATGATATATGAGCCAACGACCACCGTCTGCAAGGAAACACATGAACACTTAATGCTTGCTCCTAATCACCTTCACAGCACCAAACACTGTCTGGGACAAGCTGAAACCCTGCCACATCCTCACTGCATTTAATTTTAATGCTCACCAAGATTGGTATCCAGTAATAGTTCAAAGTTGGAGACTTGAAGGCATCATTCGGAATTGGCAGTTGACCAGAGAAGAAGAAAAATGCCAGGACACCTGAGAAGTGCAAGAGGGAAATTGTCATGCAAAATATGGGAGGCATACAACAAAAGATGGGAAAAGGGAAGAAGACTAAAAAACACCAGGATTGGTAATGGATAAAGGAAGATTTGAGGATCTAGGGCATTATGGAGGTAGCTGACAGCATGCCATTTCAAACTCCCCCTCGTCTAGGTGCCATTCCCTCTACAACCTCCATAGTACTAGCAGGATTAAGGTGCGTGGTGGTACCAGGGCCCCACAAAAAAAAAAACAAACAGGCTACTATGTTTCAGTGATGAATGAACACAGTGAGTGATCAGTACTAATCACTCATTGTATTCATTCAGGAAGGAAAGGGGTCGGTAAATGTGACATATTTACCAGACCCTTCCTACATTCCCCATGCTGAAGGATCCTACTGTGTACCTGCAGCTGCCAATGGGAAGGAAAGGAAGGAAGCTGGCAGCTTTTCAGGGATGAAGGCACACAGGGGGGCTGGGGCAGCAGGGGGAAACATATGGTGTACAGGGAGGGTAGTGGTGCGGGGGGGGGGGGCAATTAGTGGAACTGATCCCCTGTATGGCTCTTTATGCAGCAGCTGAAAGCTCGCCAGAAGGAAAGGAGAAGCCAGCTTTCAGCCATACAGGGGATCGGTTCCTTTAATTGCCCCCGTGCCTTGCCGATCAGCTCCCTGCCCACATCTGATTCACCCAGCTGCCTGGGCCCCCTGCTGGCTTGGAAGAATGTCAGCAGCACACCGAGGATCCGCAATATAGATCCAAAAGTTTTAATGAATGATCACATCGAAATGTTGCCTTGCTGTAGCTGAGTCTTGCAGGACCCCTTCATCAGGCATGTGACTGAAACATTGCCTTGCTGTAACTATGTGAGCGTTCATTAAAACCTTTGGACCCATATTGCTGATCCTCGGTGTGCTGGTGACATTCTCCCTTACCAATTCTGTTCAGTTCCAGCTGACAGTTGTTGCAGCACCCACTAATACACACAGCCATTTTTAATGCAGGAACATGTTCGTTTGGATTGTGCACTTGCTCCCTGCTGGCCTGGGCCCTATACAGGAGGACCGGTGGCACCCCCTTATCCATGGCCCTGGGTGGCACCACGGATCTTGTTCAGTAAATCAGGGTAATGATAGCTCTGAAAGACTAAGTATATCAAGTGAGAGCGTCAAGCCTGCTGTGCTTAAAAATGCATCACGTTAGGAAAGATTAAGAACACATTTTATGAAGGGGAAGCCCCTGGTGGGTACATAGATATACTTGACAGAGTCCACAGTAATGGGCACGGAAATGCAGTAGTGGTGGAGAAAAAGAGATAGCAACAAGATTTCTGAAGCAAAAGGTAGTAGCTCAGGAGGAGGACCAAAGGGCAAAATGAATTGTGGAAGGACTTGTGGCATCATGAAAATGGGAAGATCATGGAAATGAAGTATATGATCAGGCTGGCAACACCCGCAGAGGAGGGCATGTGGGAAAGTAAAATCTTCCATTGGATAAAGGGAATGGTAAAGAATGATACATCGAACAGAAAAAATGGGAGTAAGTGGCACATGTAAGATGAAGGGAATGAGAGAGCCCAAGACACATAGGATAGAAGGAATAGAAGACAGTAACACATGTAGGAAGAAGGGAATGAGAGAGAACAGCTCATGTAGGACAGCATGTCTGGTAGGGGTTGGTAATAACACAACAGCCCCTATAAAGCTGGTGGCAGCAATAATGAAGACCATGAACTCGACAAAAAGTGACAGAAGAAACAATACTTAAGAGCAATATCAACTACAATCCTCACCGACTCCTCCTACAACAATCAGCTTCCCAAAGAAAATGAGAAGGTCGGTCACTTTGTCCAGAACAACCACCCTGTAAAGACCAAAACAAATTACAAAATGTCTAATGTCTTAAAACATGCAAAGTACATACCTGAAACATGCAGTAAATGAAAGCTGGACAAAAGCTCTGCAAACACAAAGGAACAAAAACATGCAAAAAAAAAACCACATGCATGTCGCAAGCACCATACCAATCCACACACAACACACATACTCACAAGTCCTATCAGCCACTGACAGACATCAGCTCCAGCGACACATGAGCCTGCGCAGAGTGCAGCAAAGACCATGAAGCGTTATCTAATATATTAGTATGCGCATGTGTATGTCTCTGTTCACCTCACAATGTTCCGCATCAGCAGCTTGAAGGCGTTCTTAGCAGAAACACAAAAGTTCTTTCCATAAACTGCAATCTGTGTTGGGAAAAAAATATAAAGAAATTCTATCAATTATATAAAAAATGAGAAATACACCAGTTGGGGACGGGGAGTGTTCAACATACACTCTAAAACCCGTCATTTAAAGATTTAAGGTGCACATGGCATACCCCACTTCTCTACCTCCCTTGAGGCTCCCTGGTCATAACTGGCAAGTCCAGGCTGTCATTTTGACAGGCAGGTCTAGCTATATAACAAAAAATATATCTATAAAATTATGAGTCCAGTGAAAAAACAAAGTGACAAAAAATCAGAAAAATCCCAGAAAGTATATATATATAAATAATTAAAGTCCCGTGACAAAATTAATCAAATTAATTTATAATATATTTTCCATATGATTCTTCCGTGTTACGGATCCCTTCACCATCCACCAGTGCAGAAATCAACATTAACCGCACTCACCAGATAATGGTGAGTCACACGCCTTTCAGGATTGTTAAGGGCTCCTGGACCCCCTTTACTTTCTCTGAGACCTCCAAGTGCTGTTTCCTCTCATGTCTAGGTACCTCTTCTGCTTACTCCTCTCACCGAATCCCCCAAAGGATGCTGCACACTAAACTGTGGGGTCCTTATATAATCCTTATATAATCGGTGTACATGAAAAGTGGATCAATTTTGAAGAGAATCGCTGTTGTTTTGAATAAAAAAGCGGGCTATATCCCGCAAAAGAATGTGAGTGGTCTGGAGAGATTAATTTGAGGAGAAGTTACTGCGGTATCACGCTATGGTCTTTTCTTCTTCCTGATTTTCCTTTGGGGGATTCGGTGAGAGGAGTAAGCAGAAGAGGTACCTAGACATGAGAGGAAACAGCACTTGGAGGTCTCAGAGAAAGTAAAGGGGGTCCAGGAGCCCTTAACAATCCTGAAAGGCGTGTGACTCACCATTATCTGGTGAGTGCGGTTAATGTTGATTTCTGCACTGGTGGATGGTGAAGGGATCCGTAACACGGAAGAATCATATGGAAAATATATTATAAATTAATTTGATTAATTTTGTCACGGGACTTTAATTATTTATATATATATACTTTCTGGGATTTTTCTGATTTTTTGTCACTTTGTTTTTTCACTGGACTCATAATTTTATAGATATATTTTTGTATCAACATAATTTATATATAATTTATTATATATAATTTTATTAGCACATTAATGTTTTTTTACACTGAGTAATGTAATTGATCATGTGGGTTTGCGCTGGTTTTCATTGTTAAAAGTTTTTGGTCTTTTGTACCTGTGCACAGCAGCATCTCACGGGGTTTTATATGGTAAATAGGAAGTCCTGAGCGCTGAGGTTTTGTTTTTTTACATATTTGAGGTCTAGCTATATATCACAGAAGTGCCTGTGGCTGCTCCTGTGTAAACTGATACTCACAGAATAATGACTGCAGTGTTAATAAGAATTACAATGTAGTAACATTATTATCGCTAATGTTTTAATTACTCTGGTTCTTTCATAGCACAACGAAGGGGAGACATTTTCTCTGCATATGCTTTTAATTAATGAGAGTATAAAAACCATTTTAAAAATCAATAATTAACACTTAAAATCAGCCAAAACTGAAAAAAGTAAAATACTTGCCTATGCAGTACCCTGGAAAATGTCAATTTTGTCCGATTCCTCCTATTGTAACTCCCTCCTCATTGGCCTAACTCATCGCAGGCTATCCCCTCTTCAGTCTATCATGAATGCTGCTGCCAGACTCATCCATCTTACTAACCGTTCTGTATCTGCCATCCCTCTCTGTCAATCCCTTCACTTGCTTCCCATTGCCCAACAAATAAAATTCAAAACATTAACAATAACATATAAAGCCATTTATAACTCTGCCCCAAATTACATCACCAATCTTTTCTCCAAATATCACCCAAACCGTCCTCTCCACTCATTCCACGACCTCCTGCTCTCTAGCTCCCTTGTCTCCAGCTCCCATGCTCGTCTCCATGATTTTTCCAAAGCCTCCCCCATCCTCTGGAACTCTCCACCCCAATCTATCAGACTATTGCCTACTCTGCCCACTTTTAGGCGATCTTTGAAAACCTCTCTCTTCAAGGAAGCCTATCCTGCTTTCAGCTAATAACTGAATCTTCTATTACTCCTATCAGTTCATCCCCCCACCAACCCCTTCCTCTTAGATTGTAAGCTCCAAGGAGCAGGGCAGGGCCCTCCTATCCCTCTTGTATTGAACTGTATTGTTGCTGTTTGTCTTCCTTTATATTGTAAAGCGCTGAGCAAACTGTTGGCGCCATATAAATCCTGTATAATAATAATAATGCTATAATAATATAGTTATAATAGTAATGATGAAAAAATGCAGAGTGCTTCCTGGTATGTGAGTGTGCCTAGGCTCTCCGGTACCTACTGCCTCTTACCTGTATATATGCAGTATGATAAATAAGGCACCAGTGCCTCTGATTGCTAGTCTCCTGATGCTCTGACATGAGGAAGCAAAACCCTGCCTCTACCAAAGATGGCCACCTCCACACAGTGCAGGGCAGGGCATAGTAAGTCAATAATGGTGAAATATTAGCTTGAGGGAGACCACAGACAATATCGATGACTAGTCCTTTGCCCTCTATGTGCAATAGTTCAGACACCTTCCAGAGTTCGTTTCCTCTTTAGTTAGAGGCATTTTTTTTTTTGTTTAGTTTTGGATAGTGAGGAGGGATGAAAACACCTGTCAGGTTTTTATTGTTGTCTGTTTGGAAATTCACCGTATTTTTTTGATCTTGTTTACCTCTATCATCAAAAGTGAAAGCAAAAGAAAATCGAAAATATTGAGTTGACACTAGAACAGCAATAGAGGGAAATCTTCCAATAGGAATAAAAGTTCTGGTGGAATTCCTCACTTTCCAGGGATTTTCTCTACTTCTTTTTATTGTTATGGGACAGGAAATGAAGGGAAAACTCCTCAATGGGACACAGATGGCAAAAAAAACTGACAGAGGTATAACCCTCCCTTACTCTATGCAAAATGAAAAAAAAAATGTGTCTTTAGTTTTACTTTACCCCAATTAAGTCCCTCCCCCCCTGGGCCATTCTTCATGATTATTGTATTTCTATGTTTTTACCATTAATGTTTATTTTTGTTTTCATTTGTTTTATGCCTGATTTTTTTGTGACATTTTAAAAAAAAGGAGTACCTGTACAAGAGTTGAACATATTAGGGGAACATAACCTAATACCTCATTTTAATATGTAAGCAACCATTTTGCAAAATGCTAAAGATAATCAGGTACTATATGCTAGAGATAGTTTTCACCTAAAGGGGAAGGGGGGGTCTACTGTGCTGGGGGGAGAGGTTTATGGGAAGGCTGGAGGAGTATTTAAACTAGGATCGAAGGGGGAAGGAGAAGTAGATTATAACGGGGTAAACAGATCAGACAAGGGATAATACTTATTGGTACCATGCAGCGCTTATTACAAATGTCCATATAAAAGAACACCTGGGTAGCAGTGACCATAACATGATTTTATTTATTGTTAACTTAACTGTAAACAGCAAGCACATATTGGAAAAATAAAAACGTTCAGTTTTAAGAGAGCTAATTTTCCAAGGCTGAGAGCTGCTCTCCAAGAGTTAGACTGGGAGGGAATATTGGAATCAATGAACACAACATAGAAATGGGAGTTCTTCAAAAAGACTGTATGTGAATACACTGCAAAATATATTCCCATGGGCAACAAGTTTAAAAGGCTAAAAATCAAATCTATGTGGCTTATGGCCAAAATTAAAAAAGCTATAGATAATAAGAAAAGAGCTTTTATTAAATATAAAAATGAAGGAACGCTATCATCGTTTTGCATATTCTGTTATTCTTTGTAATGCTTAAAGGAAATAAAGGCTGCAAAAATTGGAAACAAACGACAGAGTGAAAAAGATAGCAGGACCAAACCCAAAAAATTCTTCAAATATATTAATAGTAAAAAGGTCCGGTCTGAGCATGTAGGCCCTTTACAGAATAATCTAGAGTGGGTGACTGGGGACAAAGAGAAGGCAAATTTATGAAATACCTTCTTCATCTCTGTGTATACAAAGGAGCATGGAGGAGCTCTTGTCCATAATGTGCGAGGTATTGACACAGCTCCAGATGATCCACATTGGCTCACAATTCAAAAATATGTAGACAGAATAAAGGTGAATAAAGCACCTGGACCAGATGGCATACACCCACGGGTCCTTAAAGAATTGAGCTCTGTCATTTGAAAGCCATTGTTTCTAATTTTTAGGGACTCTTTAATGACTGGCATAGTACCACTGGATTGGCGTAAGGCCAATGTGGTGCCAATGTTTAAAAAGGGTCAAAATCTTTACCAAGTAATTATAGAACTGTTAGTTTAACTTCTATAGTTAGGAAGATACTGGAGAGTTTAATAAAAGACCACATAGATTAGTTCTTGCTGGAAAAAAAATATTTTAAGCAACAGACAGCATGGATTCATGAAAGACAGAAGTTGTCAAACAAATCTGATTTCTTTTTATGAGGAGGTGAGCAAAACCTTGGACAGAAGGGTGGCGGTGGACGTGGTATATACTTGGATTTTGCAAAAGCGTTTGACACAGTTCCCCACACATGGCTAATGTGTAAGGTAAAGTCTACAGGCTTGGAAAAATCTGTATGTAAATGGATAGAAAACTGGCTAAAAGATGGTATTCAGAGAGTAGTGGTTAATGATTCATAATCTGAATGGTCTGGGGTCATCAGTGGTGTACCCCAAGGTTCAGTGTTGGGACCCTTACTTTTGAATATATTTATAAACAATATAGGGTCTGGGACTAAAAATCCCATTTCAGTCTTTGCAGATGACACCAAGCTGTGCAGTGGAATAACGTCCTCACAGGATGTCTTCAAATTACAGGCCAACCTCAATGCTCTGTGTAATTGGGCAACTATGTGGCAAATGAGGTTTAATATTGATAAATGTAAGGTTCTGCACTTGGGGGCTAAGAATATGCATGCATCATACATACTGGGGGGGTACAACTGGGGGAATCAATGGTGGAGAAGGGTCTGGGAGTTCTGGTAGATCACAAGCTTAATAATGGCATGCAATGCCAAGCTGCAGTTTCTAAAGCGAGCAAAATCGTCTCTTGTATTAAAAGAGGTATAGACTCCAGAGAGAGAGATATCATCCCCCGGTACAAATCATTAGTAAGACCTCATCTGGAATATGCAGTTCAGTTTTGGGCACCAATTTACAAAAAGAACATTGGGGGAACTGGAGAAAGTACAGAGAAGGACAACCAAACTGATACGAGAAATGGAGGAGCTCAGCTATGAGGAAGGATTAGAGGAACTGAATTGATTCTCTCTTGAGAAGAGGAGATTAAGGGGAGATATGATCACCATGTATAATACATAAGGGGGGATATGATCTCCATGTATAATACATAAGGGGGGATATGATCACCATGTATAATACATAAGGGGGGATATGATCTCCATGTATAATACATAAGGGGGGATATGATCTCCATGTATAATACATAAGGGGGGATATGATCACCATGTATAATACATAAGGGGGGGGATATGATCTCCATGTATAATACATAAGGGGGGATATGATCTCCATGTATAATACATAAGGGGGGGGATATGATCTCCATGTATAATACATAAGGGGGATATGATCTCCACGTATAATACATAAGGGGGGATATGATCTCCACGTATAATACATAAGGGGGGATATGATCACCACGTATAATACATAAGGGGGGGATAAGGGGGGATGATCTCCATGTATAATACATAAGGGGGGATATGATCTCCATGTATAATACATAAGGGGGATAGGATCTCCATGTGTATAATACATAAGGGGGGATATGATCACCATGTATAATACATATATGATCTCCATGTATAATACATAAGGGGGGATATGATCTCCATGTATAATACATAAGGGGGGATATGATCTCCATGTATAATACATAAGGGGGGATATGATCTCCATGTATAATACATAAGGGGGGATATGATCTCCATGTATAATACATAAGGGGGGATATGATCAACATGTATAAATACATCAGTGGTTCATATAGTGAACTCGGTGTAGAGTTATTCACCCCGAGGTCATCACAGAGGACAAGGGGGCACTCTTTATGTCTGGAGGAAAAGAAATGTAATCTCCAAACACGGAAAGGTTTCTTCACAGTGAGAGCTGTGAAAATGTGGAATAGACTCCCTCAAGAGTTGGTTCTGACCAGCTCAGTGGATTGCTTTAGAAAAGTCCTGGATTCTTTCTTGGATACACAGAATATAACTGGATACTAACATTTATAGGTAAAGTTGATCCAGGGAATATCTGATTGCCTCTCGGGGATCAGGAAGGAATTTTTTTCCCCTTCAGGAGTAATTTGGATCACGCTTTGCTGGGGTTTTTTTGCCTTCCTCTGGATCATATGTGGGTGTAGGATTCTAACTTTTTTTTTTTTTTAATGGCTGAACTGGATGGACTTTTTTATTTTTTCAGCCAGACTATGTAACTATATATGTACTGTAAGGAACTTAAACGGACACTAAACTGGATCAAAAAAGGAAAACTCGCTTTCTCCTGAGATGGACTATGGGATCTGTAGTGTGCAAAGAGCAGCGCCAATAAGTAGTGGATGTGTATGGATTATTTTTGGGGAATACTATTATTTGTCACTATAAGCAACTTCTATCACACATAGAGCTGACAACAGAATTGTCTAGCATAATGGAAAATGATTGCGACCAGTTGTTTTGTCCATCCTTTTCTCAAAAGAAGTGACCTAGTGAGTAATTGACAATCTACCACTGTCCGCCCCAAGTGAACCCAGGCAAAACCTATTTTTGCATGTGCAAGGTTTTCTAGGCAGTTTCTCCTTACTTCCCATCATGGTGACAGTTTTACTAAATAAATAAAATTGGCTGGAGTTCCACATTAAAGTTTAACATAACAAGCAGTTTTTAGCATGTTACCATGATGTATGCATTGCGATTTAGGAATTTGATGAACTTCTCCAGACACCAGAAGCAACACTTCAGGCAGCACATGAGGAATCGGGTGCACGGGTTCTGCGCTCCTAGTAGATAAAAATTGGCAATGCAAGCATGAGCAATTAGTGGTTTAATCATATCAATATTACTAGAAACACACCTTTAACACAGTTTGCTAAATCTTCCAGAACTTCAATTCACAAAAAATATTCTATAAATGTATTCATCAATAGCCACAAAAAAAGATGTAAATTAACTTTGTGTGCACCAAATGTCTATGCAAACCTAGTTATTGCTATCTAAATGTAGTTGACATCACTGTGCTGTACATAGCCTCTGCAGAGAGCCGAGCTTTGGGAGGGAACCATCAGACTCCACCTACTACAGGTTGACAAAAAAAAAAAACTACAGAAGGGGGCGGAGACCAGACCAGTTATCCTGCTCAAGGAGAGAGAGCAGCAGTGACCGGTCTTTATTACTGGAAGCTCCTGCACAGAGGCATAGTCTCACACTGGATTACTGCACAGATCTGGAAGAAATACACAAAGCACACCAAGATTCAAGGAAGAGTACACATGACTTTTGTATTTAGAGGATATTGGCTTATCCCTGAGTTCAGCTTTAAAGTGTATCTAAAGCCTGGCAAAGTGAGGAGAAATCAGCTCTGACAGTTTTCAATGAAACAGGTGTCCTATATCTGAAATAACTTCATCTATATCTGGGTGGGACATACATGGCTGCCCACATTAATGTAAAAATAGGCTCATCTAAAGCCATTTTTTGTGGATGAAGGAAGAACAACCCCTGTCAGCTTTTTGTCATCTTTGTCCCAGTAGGAAGATTTCTCTCTTCTTTCAGATAGTCTGAACAGAAAGTGAGTGGATATCTCCTCTTGGGCACTTTTCACCAGGACCGGTGTTTCCGATGGAAGATTTCCCTTCTATTCACTTTTTATATCGGTAACAATGGACCCTGGGTCAGAGAGTGTGAATCTGCCCCAGTTGGGTAGGGATGACAATAAAATTTGACCAGGGTTTCAACCATTCCCCCAATTTATCTACAGTTTAAAAAAAAAACTGTCTTTAGATAAAATATAAAACAGGTCATGTCCATGTGACTACTGTATTATTGGTCGATGGTCGCCCCGGTTGTCAGGCAAATTCAGCACCACGCAATTAAAATTCCTGTGGCATGCAATTTTCCACTGACCACTGTACAAGAGTGGGAAGATGTAACCACTGACCATAGGAATGTACAACCAATCCCAAGTGATTTTCTTTTTTTTTTTGTTTTACAAATCTCAAAAAATAAAACCGTAAAATGAACCCATACATTTAAAGTTAAAACTTTAGTTTTGGATAGAGTAAGGAAGGGTTAAAACCCCTGTTAGGCCTGTGTTGCTGTGTCACCACTGGGGACATTCACCCTCTCTGTCGTGGTGACCACTGTCACCAGAAGAGAAGGTGAAGGTACATTCCTCAAATTGTCACAAGAACAAGAATAGAGAGGACATTTTCCAATGGGGACTCTTGTTCTGGTGACAACGAGCACAGGATTTCCATAATTTGGAGAGATTATCCGTTCTTTCTGTTGTTTCTATAAGACAGGAAGTCAAGGTAATTCTCTCCACAATTCCAAAAGAAAGCCTGACTGAGTTTAAACCCTCCCTAAACTAACCAACACTAAAATGTTTTTACTGTAGATATACTTCAAGGTCTTATTCATATTTCCCAGAAAAGATTACAACAGTAAGCCAAATAATTACCTTTCAGCTTGTGGTCCAGATACTCGAGGATGATTCGGATCATCTGGACAATAGTGAGGATGAGGGAACCAAAAGCCAGGGATCCTGTATGATACCTGGGTGAAGTATAAAAGATAGGAGGTTATTGATGAATACTGTATGTGATACATGTAATACCCACCAGTTACTGGATCAGCACCGGCTAAAAGCTGTCCCTTCAAAGGCATGTTTTACAAAATGGTCTTTATTCTGTCACAATGAACACGGTGTCACCCTATGAGGAATTGTAAAAATAACATTGGCATGCTGGCAGGATCAACAGGTAATAAAAATATGTCACATTAGGACTCCTTCATAAAAAAAAAGAAAAAAAAAAGAAAAAAAAAAAGTTCTCTGTGTACAGCAAGTACACCAGAAGCTGTTACTGACAGCAATTTGCTAACAAAGGCAGGTGATCACATGATCGGGAACCACTGCCTGGTTTAGGGCTTATTCACATATAGTATGTGCTGCAGTCCTTACTTCCCCTCTGAAAAAGCGATCCTTGGATCCCTTTCAGAGTTGACAATATGTCACCTCCTCACTGCATGTTTAAACCCTGGAAATGCCAAACCACTGTGCCACAACTGCATGCATTGGCAGGCACTACTGCTGCTGAGTGCAACCCAGATGAGTGAGGCTGTGCCACAACTGCATGCATTGCACGCAGTTGTGGCGCAGCCCAACACATCTGGGTTGCACTCAGCAGCAGTAGTGCCTGCCAAATGTCACATACTAGTTAATATTCGCTGTGGCATGTGTATAGCCCTGAGCCTAACCACCTGCTTTACCCATCACCCCATTGGCCACACTTCTGTACAAACCCTGATAGAGAATTAGGAGCTGTCAGTAACATTACAGTCCCATAGCTAGAAGCATGCATCGCTATGCACTCCCATCTGTCCAAATGGACGCAGGGCATCAGCAGGATAATCTACAGACTGTGGACAGAACAGAGTTAAAATGTATAAAACTCCCAAATCGTGTACTTATCCAAGGTCTATACTTAAAGTCATTGGATTGGTGTGCAACCCAGCATTTTCTGAAAGAAAGGATCCCAGTTTCAGCCTATACATTCTCTCAGTACAGGCTTCCTTTAACATTTTTTTTTTTTTTTGTGAGATTTGGCCTGTAATGGTTGTGCGCACTGGGCACACGAATAGCTGTGTGTGTAGCAGCCATTTTGCTCACATCACAAGTCTCCAAAGTCATTTTGTCAAAGACCGGATGATTGGTCAGAAGGTCTCTGTCAACACCCCCCCGATGTGAAGAAAAGGGGAATGAAACCACATTTTGGGAGCTCTCCTTTTACCATCAAAGCAAGGAATGAAAACCTAACCCAACTTGAGAGAGCCACTGTACCGTCTTTGCTGATTCATTGGACTCCTGAAACCAGGACATTGTTAAGTATTCTCCCCCTCAACTCCTTTTTATCTCTCTGTTGCATTGTTGTCTCTTGTTACTTTGTAATATCTTTTTTGCATTGTTTGACCTTTTATTATTAAACCCTATTTTGAAAAAATGTTAAAACGTGCTAATGCAAACTAAACTAATCCCTGTCTCGTGAACAGCGCTACTGTGTATGATAAATCTCTGAATATACCTTTCTGTGGTGACAGTGTGTGTACAGACGTTTATTTTACAAATCGTGATTGTTATTGCTAATCTTGTGAAATTTTCCGATTCTTCAGTAAAAGTCGGAGGTGGCAGTTTAAAGAGTTAATTGCTTAGTTACAAAACCTAGTAACAATCGCTCTCAAAACCCAGTAACAATTGCTCTCAAAACCCAGTAACAATTGCTCTCAAAACCCAGTAACAATTGCTCTCAAAACCCAGTAACAATTGCTCTCAGTCAGTTGGCACCTAGATCGTGGTCCCGCAAGCTGGAAAATCTTTGTGCAGTGTGGGGCCGAGAGTGCCATTGTTGTGTAAGTGACAGCGTAAGTGACGTCACCTGGCCCATGTTAGAACGAATATTTCAGCATCTTGCAGAGCCGATGTGTTAAATCCATTATAAAGGTTTTGGGGAGTGGTGGGAGGATTCTTGGGTTCCAGGTGTAGTTGGATTTTGTGCTGCCCTAGGCAACACAAAAATGGCCCCACACCCCCCACAGGGAGAGCCTGGCACCAACCTCCCCCCCCACCCAAGAGAGCCTTCCACTACCACCACCCTCCATACACCGGCCGCCACTCCACCCCCGCCCCACCCACCCTCCAGCAAGAGAGAGAAAGACACTCAACTTCACACTCTAGACATCCCCTGGAATGTGAGTCAGGCTCTGCATAAACCATCTCTGATCTCCCACCTGGTCCCCAAGCCGCATGTATCCCTTCTTCCGGGGAGCGGTGCTGCCCCCCTGAAAAATGGTGTCCTAGGCAAATGCCTTGTTAGCCTTGTGGTAAATACACCTCTGGGTGTGGCCTTTACAAAGGTTCACATTTGTTCTCTATCAGTATTCCTTCTTTATATTATGTGATGGAAAATACAAAGGAATTTGTAAAAATAAGAGGACTGAGATTCCATGGTGAAAAAAACAACTAAAGGAGATCTCACCTGTGGACTTCTTGGCGGGTGATTTGGCCCAACAGACTCCACCTATAACTGAAATATCACTTTTGGAACATAGTATTACTGTACACAAGATCTGCGGACCCACCTTAGTGTTCTCATGAAAGCAGCAGATACAGGGAAGTAGGGGATGTCCCTAGGTTTGTGCAATGCCCAGTAATAGGAGGCAAATGCTCCAGCCAGGACGCACTGGCCCAGGGCAATGACAAAATTAATGCACCACAGGAAACCAAAGACATTATAGATCTGCAAGTTGAAGATGTTCGTCAAGATGATGCCCTCTGTTTGGTACTTGTAGAAGATGCACTTGGCGTCAGGGCAGCTTTCTGTGCCGTTAAATGTCTACAAGAGAAGGAGGACAAATTAGAGGGTTTAATGCCAACTCTGCATTTCACATTAACCACCACATCAGCCTGTAACACCCCTTCATTACCAGGCCATTTTCCAGTTTTCAGTGCTGTGACACTTTGACTGTCAATTACCTCACCTTGCAATACTGTACTCTAATTTTATATAATATTTTTGAGAATATGGTTTTTTTTTTTTTTTTTTTTTTTTTTTTTTTTTTTTTTTTTTTTTTTTTTTTTTTTTTTTTTTTTTCTCTTTCTTTCTATTGGTGGTATTTCATAATCACTGGTTTATTTGTTTTACTATATAAAAGGAAAAAGGCCAAGAGTTTAAAAAAAAAATTTTTTATCTTCGATTCCATTATAAAACATACAAAATAAAAATGCCATTACAGTACAAACACCCCCAAAATTACCCCTTTTTGGAACATGAGCATCCCAAGGCATTCTCATTTTTAGCCACAATTTTTTGAGGGAAATGAAGTGTTCTTTCATCTTGTTCATTAATCATCTCCCTACTGCCCTAATAAAAAAAACATAAAAAAAAAAAAAAAAAAAAACCATGGGGGGTGGATATCTATTTCTAGAGTGCAGTTGATAAATGCCACTTCAAAATAAACTCTTGGACTCCAGCGTGCCCAATAATGGCTGTAAACTGGGCCAAAGTCCAAAAGCTTGGTTCACCGGCTCAGTGTACAGGGAAAGAAGGGTGGAATGGACTCACCGTTGGGTTACAGCTTGCGTTTGCTGTTATGTTACCACACCCAGGAGTGCTGGTGTTTGTAACGGATATGACAAACATTGGTGCTCCTGCAGTTGCCAAATATCTGAGTTAGGCTAAGGAACCTTAAAGCGAAACTACACTTTAATTAATTTTTAATATTCAAAGCCAACTTACCCATCCATTCATGTCTCCATGCTTTATTTTGCTAAGAAATCACTTTGAAAAACACCCCCTAGCATGTACGGCTGTGGCCATCTTGAATAAGGACAGTAGCATTTACTTCATGGGATCCATCTTCCTTTAGCTTAGGCAAGCAGGCAGGAGGGTGTGCTTGGCTAATAAAACCCTTCCTCCTCTATTCCCCTCATGAAGACTCCTGGGATGTATGACATAATTTGCCTAGCCATGGAAACCAGGAAGTAACTGAAGAAATGTAAAAAAAGTTTTACAAGTACACATGACATATATACACAGTTAGGTCCAAATATATTTGGACACAGGCACAATTTTAGTTGTTTTTTCAGGTATTTATCAAAACATATTCAAGCTATAGTTATATAATGGATATGGGCTGAAAGTACACACTCTCAAGTTTAATTTGAGGTATGTACATCCAAATTGGAGGAAGTGTTTAGGAGTTACAGGAGTAGACATCCCCCTTTTTCAAGGGACCAAAAGTAATTGGACAATTGAATCAAAAACGGTTTCATGGCCAGGTGTGGGCTACTCCTTTAATATTTCCTCATCAATTAAGCAGGTAAAAGGTCTGGAGCTGATTCTAAGTGTCGTATTTGCATTTGGAATCTATTTCTGTGAACCTACATCTTGCGTTCAAAGGAGCTGTCCATGCAAGTGAAACAGGCCATTGTAAGGCTTCAAAAATGAAACAAATCCATCAGAGAGATAGAAGCAACATTAGGAGTGGCTAAATCAACAGTTTGGTGCATTCTGAGGAAAGAAGAACGCACTGGTGAGCTCAGCAACATAAAAATTAATGGATGTCCACAGAAGACAACAGTGGTAAATGATCGCAGGATCCTCTCTATGGTAAAGAAAAACCCATTCACAACATCCAGACAAGTGAAGGACACTCTCCAGGAGGTGGGCGTATCATTGTCAAAGTCTACAATCAAGAGAAGACTTCACTAGAGCAAATACAGAGGGTTCAACACAAGGTGCAATCCATTCATAAGCCTGAAGAATAGACTAGCCAGAAAAGACTAGCCAGATTAGACTTTTCCAAAAAACTATCTAAAAAAGCCTGACCAGTTCTGGAAAAGCATTCTTTGGACACATGAAACTAAGATTAATCTGTACCATAATGACAGGAAGAAAAAAGTGTGGAGAAGGCTTGGAACAGCTCATAATCCAAAGCACACAACATCATCTGTAAAACATGGTGGAGGCAGTGTGATGGCATGGCATAAATGGCTTCCAGTGGCACTGGGTCATTGGTGTGTATTGATGATAAGACAGAAGCAGCCGGATGAATTCTGCAGTGTTTAGAGATATACTGTCAGCCCAGATTCAGCCAAATGCAGCAAAGTTGATTGGACAGCGCTTCACAGTACAGATGGACAATGATCCAAAACACACTGCAAAAGCAACCCAGGAGCTTTTGAAGGAAAAGAAGTGGAATATTCTGCAATGGTCGAGCCAATCACCTGATCTAAACCCAATTGAGCATGCATTTCACTTGCTGAAGGGAAAACTAAAGGCAGAAAGACCCACAAACAAAGAACTGAAGACAGCTGCAGTTAGAACCTGGCAAAGTATCAGAAAGGAGGAAATCCAGTCTTTGGTAATGTCCATGGGTCCCAAACTTCAGACAGTCATTGACAGCAAAGGATTCTCAACAAAGTATTAAAAATGAACATTTTATTTATGATTATATTCATTTGTCCATTTACATTTGAGCCCCTGAAAACTGAGGGACAGTGTTTAGAAATGGCTGCAGTTCCTAAAATTTATACTTGATATTTATGTTCAACCCTTGAATTAAAGCTGAAAGTCTGCACTTCAAATTAAATTTGAATTGCTTTGTTTTTAATTCATTGTGGTGGCATACAGAGCCAAAAGTATGAAAATTGTGCATGTGTCCATATATGGACCAATCTTAGAAAAGACACACTGCAGTTGAATAAAATGTAAACAATGTCAGGACTTTGTTATTTCATGTAGTTGTGCACACTCAGGAACTGGGATACTGAGTCCTATTTTGTTTAATACTTAAGAAGTCAATATACAGTATAATACTATGACATAACAGACTGAAGGATACAGAGCTGTGATACCCCAGTATGCTACACAGACCACCAGAAGAACAAATGTGACCAGCGGATAGAACAGGGAAGACATGATGTAACCAATCGCCCTGAGGAGAGAGAAACCATAGAGTTATCATATTGTGCGCTGCTATCAATGGTGTCAACTTTTTATGAGCTCTGGGCAGTCACCTAAGACTCCATCTTTTTGTGGTATAAGTCTCTTATAGCAGAATTCACATGAATAAAAAAAAAAACAAAACAGCTTCATTCTATTCAGCTTTACCAACTTACTAAAAGTGTAAAAACATTCACACAATATCAGTTAATCTGCAGGCTTAACGTAGGGGGCCTAGAAAACCATTGTTCACACCATCACAATGCACTGAGGTGGGTTGCAGTACATGCAAAAAAAAAAAAGTCAGACATGCTGTATTTTTATGCAATGTGCCTTTTTATTTTGCTGTTGTATTACCGTCTCCTTTCTTTTGTAACATACTTATCTGTAAATATTTCCCTTTCTTTTATTAACCACTTCCCCTCTATGGTAATTTTTAAAATTTTTTGGACACTTTAAAATCTGAATATATTTTCTGCAAGCAGAGGCCTTGTAGAAAAAATTTACAGTAGTTTATCAAATCGATATTTTCAGAAAAAAATACACTACAATAAATTTTATTGTACACAAACACAATTTAAACCCCAATTTTGTACATGATAAAAGAGGTAGTATACAGTAACTAGAAACTAAATGTGTCAAACCTCAAAACTGCCTGTGCCCACAAAATGGCCAAAAAATTACAGTACCCAAAATTATCATTAGGTGACATTTTAAATGCCAATCAATCCTAACCACAACAGCGCTTTAATCTAGGTGCTCCACTATTCCAAACGGTGTCTGTCACTTGATAAGGTGCAGCTCTCCATAAATCGGGGAATCTAAGAATTAGCAAGACAAACCATAACAAGGCGTGAGTGCACGTGCGCACTTGCAAGGATGCACTTTGGTGCGCCGCCTGTCACCCCTCTCGGGCAGTGGCGCATGTGCTTCCACTTGTCATGGGGGAGAGCGCATGCGCACTGGCAAGGATGCACTCCTGGCGTAAGGCCCATAGCATCAGCTTTTTGGGTAGTGCCCCGTGTGCCGGTATGTCATTTCAAATTGTGGAAATAGACATTGGTGCTGTTTTCAGGTATATATTGGCTGCGAGATTGGTATTTTACATCAAAGCAATCATAAATAAATATATACATTGTGTGTGTGTGTATACACACACAATTTTTTTTTTTTTTTTTACATCCATGCAGCATGTCTTGTGTATCTGTTGCCAAAGTGCGAGTGATTCCCAGTTCACAGTCAGTGGCTTTTTTTAGGCAGAGGGGATCCTGTCAGTCCCATTGTTGTGGGTTGTTCATGCTGGGAGGTCCCTAGTGGGTTCCTCCTCTTCATCTCACCATGGAGGGGGTGTGGTGATGGATAACACACGTGATTTCCTCTATATATTGGGCATTGGCACTTTCATTTCATTTGGTTCTGAAGAAGGGAGGCTCCCGAAACGTGTCAGGCATTCATATTGGTACTTATGGAACAGGACCCCACTGTCTGGGACTGAAAGACCTCGTTTTATGTCTGTTTTTATGGCTTGTTAGTGAGTATTAATTTGTTATCTATTTTTTAAATCAATTTGTTATTGCGGTAATGCACGTGGAGAGTGCACCCTCATGTGTTTTTTTTTTTTTTTTTTGTAATATTTATTCATTTTCCATATAGAATTCATGCTCCATCATTAATCTCATATAACATACAAAACCATCAGCTATATCCCTTTCTAGCATTATTCCCATTACCCCCCCCCCCCTATCTAATACCCCCTCCCACCCTGAAACCTACCTCCCCCCCCCCAAAAAAAATAAAACCACCCACTCTGCAATTCTCCATTACATCTTTTCCTAAATAAGGGGTACTTTCACATATCCCACTCTACTGCTTCATATATTTCACCTTAGGCACAAAGTCTTCCCATTTTCCCCACCTCCTATAATATAACCCCATCTTGTCTTCTTGCATATAATACAGTTTTTCCATCCTACATATCTGATTCACTCTTTCCACCCAATCCTCTCCTCTCGGCACCTCTGAGCTATGCCAGAACTTAGGATTCAAACCCTTTGCCGCATTTAGATAATACCATATACCCGAATCCTTGTATTTGTTCACTGATAGCTCTGTACTATGTAATAGACACAACTCTGGATCCAATCCTATCTTTATCCCAAAGATTATCCCAATTAAGCAAACCATTGTCTCCCAAAAACCTTGAATCTTTGGGCACTCCCACCATATGTGATGTAACGTACCTATCTTTCCACACCCCCTCCAACACTCTGGTGCATTCTCCCCACTCATTTTATATCCGACATTTGGTGAAATGTGCCATCTTGTTAAACACTTATAATTTACCTCCACCTCTCTCATGCTTACGTTCTCGTGTTTCAGTCTATATATTTTCCTCTGTTTGTCTTCATCTATCTATCTCTATTCCCAAATCCCTTTCCCATTTTGCTGTGTACATTGGCTTTGTGTGTGTGTCTAACTCAGTGAGAATCTTATAAACTTTTGCCGTGCCCCATTTCCCATCTCCACGTGATTCCAACAACCTCTCAAAAAAATTCCAATCCTTTCTCAATCTCAAAGGTTTCGGAAGGCTCCCAACAAAGTGTTTAATTGGTGATATCTCCACTCATCTATCTTAATGAAAAGTTCCCTTTTATCCTTTTTTCCTTTTTTAAGTCCTTAAGTGTTCTCAATTCCTGCCCTTCCATAATATCCCTCAATTGAATATCCTCCTTTTTAAACCATTTTCCTGTGCTCTCCTCCCTAACTGGAGGAAAATACTCCGTATTCCTCAGTGACATGAATTGTGAATTAAAATCCCACTTCATAAACGTGTGCAGTTTGTCCCAAACCCTTAAAACATTTAATGTATAAACACTTGTGGTATCTTTTAATCCTTTGTATTGTGCTGGTACCCATATGATTTTACTCAAGTTAACTCCGCTTAATTCATTTTCAATTTTAACCCACCTTTTCCCCTCTGGATTATGTGTCCAGTCATAAATTCTTGCAAGAACTGCTGCTCTATAATACCTCTTGAAATCTGGCACTCCCAATCCTCCCTTCTCTTTATTTCTACTCAACAAATCATAAGATATTCTAGGTTTTTTATTTTTCCATATATATCTTGTTAACATCTTTTTAATTACCTTAAAAAAAACCTCCGGAAGTCTAATTGGGATCATCTGGAATTTATATAGGATTTTAGGTACTATTACCATTTTTATCAGATTTATGCGCCCTATCCAAGACCGGTTACCTCCTCCCAATTTCTTTAGTTCCTCCTTAATCTCATTTAAAAGTGAGATGTAATTTAACTTATACAAGTTTGTATTTGAAGCCGTGAGTTTAACCCCTAGATATTTTATCTCTCTATCCTTCCATATAAAAAGGGAATTCTTTTTGTATCTTTTCTTTTTCACTATTTGGAAGATTTACATTTAAGATCTCAGTTTTTGTTGGGTTGATTTTCAAATTTATTAGCTCCCCATAATCCTTTAAACTCTTCATTAAATTTGGGAGTGTTATCCTAGGATTTCCCACATAGAACAACAGGTCGTCCGCAAAGGCCGCCACTTTAAGTTCAATTCCCCCTATCTGTATTCCTTTTATGTCCATATTTTTCCTAATTGTTGCCAATAAAGGTTCCAATGACAATACATACAACAATGGGGACAGTGGGCATCCCTGTCTTGTTCCATTTGACATCCCAATAGGTTCCGACCTCTCTCCATTAACCAAAATAACCGCGGAGGGCTCTCTATACAATTTTCCTATCCACTCTCTCATTCTAACTCCCAATCCTAGAGTCTCCAGAGTGTCCATCATAAAGCTCCAATCTACTCTATCGAATGCCTTTTCAGCATCGATTGAAAGCACCACTGCCGGAGTTTTCCCCTTCTTAACTTTCTGGATAAGCAACAAAGTCCTCAACCCATTGTCTCTACCCTCCCTCCCTGGTACAAATCCTACCTGGTCCCCCTGATCCATTGTGGCATTAGATCTTTCAACCTATTTGCTAAAACCTTTGCATATAACTTAGTGTCTATGTTCAGAAGTGAGATTGGTCTATAGCTAGAGCACTGAGAAGCATCCTTCCCTTCCTTTTGAATAAGCACCACATGGGCCTGTAAAGATTCTCACCTCATCTCCATCTCCCCACCTAGGGCGTTCATATATTTCTTCAATTTCGGTATTAACAATTCACTATATTTTTTATAGTACCTCACAGTATAGCCATCTGGGCCTGGGCTTTTCCCGTCATGGTACTTTTTAATGCTATTTTTATTTCCCCCTGCGTAATTTCTAAATCAAGGGAATTCAGTTGATCTTCACTCAACTTTGATAGTCCAGCGTTTTTTAGATATATCCTTTTTTCTCTACTCGCATTTCCACTTTTATTTACTGAATCCTGGGAAGTAATATTATACAGCTTGCTATAATATTCCTTAAACACCTTGGCGATCTCATTAGTAGAATAAACCATTTCTCCCTTGGGGTTTCTTATTTTTTCTATACAATTCCTGTTTTTCTTTTTCCTCAAGGCTCTCATCAAATATTTTCCTGGTCTATCTCCCCGTCTATACCTCTCACTTGCCACTTTATTAAAAACTCTTCTCCTCTTCCATCAGTATCTCTAGTTCTTTCTTTTTTATTACCTTCTGTCTTATCTCTTTTGTTATTCTATTTTTATGTATCTGCTCCAGGTCAAATATTTCTTTTAACAGCCCAGTAAATTTCTCTCTTCTTTCCCTTTTCTTTTTTGCCCCGGACGCAATCAATATACCTCTTATGTAGGCCTTGTGGGACTCCCATACTGTAGCTACAGACACTTCCCTGTCTCATTCTCCTGGAAAAATCTTTCAATCTCTTGCCTAATCTTCTGATCAATCTCCTGATCCAGGAGAAGAGCCTCATTCAACTTCCATCCTGTACCACCTGTCACCCGCCTCCCCCACCCTAATTCCAATGTAACAGGG